TCATCTGCCAGCGGCAAGGGAACGTCACTTCGGTGATACAACTGAAGAAGTTCCTGAGCCACCACTTCGGCACCAGCGTCGAGTCTGAGGATGCTTTTTCATCGTACCTCCTGTCTTCCTTCCTCGAAGACGGGGTGGGAATGTTCGAAATCATCATCACCGTCATTCGTGACAAGGAGCGTCGGTTGCTGCCTGGTTCCGCCCGCATAGCGGCGGTAAGGTCGCTTGAGATCGGATCCGACACTGATTACCGAGCATTTCGTGAACGATACCAATACATGCTCTACGAGAGCCCTGTTTGTCTTCCTATCACATCCAAGGTGGTTCCCAAGACACTCTACAAGGTGGTGCCTCTCCGGATGTATCGGCTCTACGTAGAACGTGGGGCGATCATTCGGGGCGGGCGAGCTCTGATCGAGCTCCTTCCCTCTAGGCCGGATGAATATCAATCCCTCCGCGATCACGGAGAATGCCCCAACGACACTGTCGACCGCATCACCGACAGCAATGTGACGGAGCTGCACACCTCGGGTCGACGCCAAAGGAGCGATCCCCGATATGTGGTCATGGCTATCGATGCACGTTTCTTCTCCATGGAAAATGGGGGCATGCATATTACTCGTCAGGGTACCTTTGCATCGCGCGAGAACATCGCGATCGGGTACTGGAGATGCGTCTACTTCAAGGAGGACTGCTCCATCATTTACCTGAGGCCTTGGTGCTATCCGCCCAACTTCCTCAACTCCGTGAGTGATAACCCGAGGAAGTGTCGGGACGAGATGGAGAAGTATCACCAGATCACCAAGACGGAGCATGTCCGCGAGGTGGTGTCCGCTCCATGCCATAGGTGCATGACGGCCCACCCGATCGGCGCTCACCTGTGCACCGCCTGCTACCTTCCCATCTTCTATGAGGGCGTCCGGGGTGATTCCTCCCTGGCTGGCAAAATACGAGGGCGTCGTCCCCGCTCTGTGGAACAACGCAGACGCCAACGCCATCGGAATGGCCCTCTACTCGCAGAGTCCCGCCGTCGATGCCCGGTCCTTGTTGATGTCTGGGATGCGGCCTCCTAAGTACCTCGACAAAGAGGACGTGGATGGCATTTTCCGAAAACTTCACGACTCGCTCCGAGACGAAGTTCTTGACGGCAAGTACCGTGACACGGTCGACCACAACGTGGAAGAGTGGGTCGCAAAGGCGATCTTGGTAAGGGGTCTTGCCTTCAACGGGAGCTCCGTGCCCGACTTCTTCGAAGAATATGAGGGATATGCGGCTGAGTGGGGCAGACGCCTAACCACCGCAAACTTCAACGCCAACCGGTGCGGCTTTTACACGTCCTACTACATGGTTGAGGCCCATATCATTGGGCTGAGATCAGGGCACCTTTCTCCGATACTCCCCAACGATGTGTCCGGGGAGGGGTTCAAGGCCCAGGTGGGGCTGCTCGCACAGCACTGCGGGATAATGCAGGCCATGCGGAGAAAGGCCGGATTCGATCCCGCCGCGCGCCTCAAACAGGCCATGGACACGATACGGGAAGGCATTAAGAAGGGATACATCTACACGCTCAACGACCTCAGCAGTATGGATGATCTGATCTACCGGACGTCCACCGTTGCCTACGACACATGCTTGGCCGACCGTCCTCAAACCCAGGATGACATCAAACAGGAGCTGGCTGACCCTGTACCAAGGAAATACCGCTTCCGACCCCGCGATCGCCATCGACCCGGAATTCGCCTTACACCAGGCCCCGGCGTGAAAGACGAAGACGAGCCCGACTTTGCTGGATCAGCGGAGGATGAGCTGGGATCGGATGGGTCTTCGCACAAAGATGACGAGAAGCCTGACGACCTTGACGAGCCCATGGGCGACGACGAGGAGGAGATCCCTCCCCCTCCGCCACCGCCCCCGGCTCCTCCTGCGCCGCCTATCCCGGTAGAACCGGAGACTCCCGTGGTGTCGCACGCAGGCGTCGGTTCTGGCGAAGCTGTGCCAACTCCTCCTCCTCCTCCTCCCGCTCCCATTGCTGCAGGCGTTACCACGGCTGGGGATCCGTTTGAGGAAGAGGACATGGCCGTCAATACTCGTGTCCCTGACACCGAGTCCGAGCTGGAGGGTGAGTCCGACCAACCCAAGGCCAGGAGGACATCTCGTGGTCGGGTCCCCGCGCCCGAGAAAGGGCAGGGGGCGTTCAAGTCCCGCCTGGCGGGCAACCCAGCTCTAAGAGCATGGCCCAGCCTGCCCGTCCATCCCCGGTCCCCGCGAGAAGCGGTGCGGAAGGGGGGGAGAGAAGGGGCAGAACCAAGGGTTTCTACACCCAGAAGGATCCTTTTACCGGCGAGGACGCGACTCCCCGGGTTCGTCTTCGATCGGGCGGTCCCGGAACTCCTGCGTCCCCACCACGGGATGCCACCGGTTCCTTGGGCGGCCATGGCGGCTATGACCCGCGCGATGACGACAACGATGAGTGGGAGCTTCCCCCGGGCGTGCCTCGGACCACTCGTGCGGCCAATGAGTCACGGCCCCACCGAGATGACGATCGGTCAAGGACCGCGCTTGGGGCCCGCGAGGATCGTCGCGGCCCTAAGGGTGAGGGGAAGGGTCGAGGAAAACATCGACCTGGCAAAGGTGGACGCGAGGATCCTGGCCCGCCCCGACAAAGGGATGATCGTGGCAGGGATACCCGCGGAGGCCGACGCGATGATCGCCGACCTCCTCCACGTCATGAGGAGCCATCCGAGAGGCGCGGTCCGGGGCGAGATGAGCGCCGCGGACGTGATGACCCGGCTGATGACCGTCGCGATCGCCACCGGGACCGGCGCAGGGATGACCGACGTCACCAATCAGATCCCCCTCCGCCTCGCCGACCTCCGGCTGGCGACCACAGTAGGGGTGGTGGTGAGGATCGCCGTCGGGATGGAGGAGGTGATCGAGGTGACCGCGGTGGACGCCGGAGAGACGACGCGCCCAGAGACCGGGAAGAACCTGGTTCAGGGTGGTAGGCAGGTACCGCGATCAGCATCCGCCTTAGAAGGGCGAGGATGGCACGTGTGTCGCCGAAAAACGCGACCGCGCCGGTCCTCCTCTCGCCCATGCGGCACTGCTGGGGGTGATGGTCTCCATTGCCCTGTACCGCTGATCCGGCGTTGTTCGTGTCCCTCCCGCACCGCTGCCGTGCGCGCCGGAGACGGTTCCCCTGGCGATCCTGTGTGAGGCTGTGACCGCACTAGAAGTGCCGGGCCGGCCGTAGCCGGATATTTTCACACCAATTTCGGAACTTCCTTTTCTTATTTCCTCCCAACTCGACTACTCCTCCAACCACTTCACGGCGTGCAGTGAGGCGCGGTGATCCAGATAGGGTCCCCCTCCGCATGTTGCCGTCCCATGACAATGCATGAACGGCACGAGAGGAATCTTCGTCTGGTTCCTCCAATATGTCATTGTTCACTCATGTGGTCCACTCGTCAAATAATCCTGTCGCCCCGATAATTCGGGGTGGTGGCGGGATTTTAACTGGGGCCCAGGTGATGCCGTTTGGCTCACCTCTGAGTTGACACCGGCATTTTTGGTTGGTCCCTTTCGTCGTGAACTCAACTGTCTCGCATCCTTTCTCTCGTCCAGATATCGGATGAGGGGGGTGTGCTTTGTTCACGTGTTGTTTCTTCATGTGGCAAAACGGCCGAATGGCCGTTTGGCTCAAGTTTTCAACCCCCCGTCAGTTTAGCTCTGGCACCACGTGCGGACGCCATACAACGGCAGCCGCCCACATCACCGGGAAAAGGTCTCGGTGCTGGGGGCAGCTGGTTGTGGGAGGTATCCGGTGGTGCGGCAGGGTTTGCTGGGCTTGGTTGAGTACTTATACTTCTTCAACTTGATTCCCAACTTCCCCAAACTTCTCTTTACTAACCGTCACTTCCTCAACCCGGTCATCATCCACAGCTTCACCCGAGTTGTGATTCCGGGTGCTTTGGGTACATTGTGATCTTCTTTGTACTCATTTGCTTCCCTGGGCTACTTCGTGTTCGCCCAAAACCGCAGTTTGCATTAAAAATACATGTACTCTTTGATTCGTGCTTCATTCTGGTATTACTGGGCTATCATCTTGTTGGTGAGATGGTGTGTCTGTGTCCCTGCAAAACGTGGGTGTCCAAATTCTGTGACTCCCGGCTCACAAGGGGTAAGGTCATTTGAGCCTGAGAGCTGTGCTGCAGAATCCTCGATCCCTGGCGGCTTCAATCATAGCTGGAATGACCATGTTTTTTTTTTGCATGGGAATGTGTGTGTTTTCTTTACATAGGAATGGGTTCAACCCAAAATGCAAAGGGCTTCCTTTTAATTTGGTTTCCCTTTACGTACGGGCCGTACGGGGCGTACGGGGCCCATTTGGAGAAACTCCAAGTTAGTCTCTTGAGCAGTCACGGTCCTGGTCGCGGCTGAAAGCTCTGGACTGAAGCCGCCTAGCTTTGGGTACCCCAAAAACCGCCGTGGTTTCCCAGGGCTCCTTAAAAGATACATGTTGCAACCATTTGAAACATGTTGCTTTTTCAACACCAAAATAAAGGGGAACCACCATTGACAAGGCAATGTTCAGGTGTATAATGTAAGGATCCCTGTTTCATTTGGGTTTCTCTTGAAGCCAAACCCAAAGAAGGTACTCTTCAAAAAACAAGATGCCCAAACAGCCGCTCATTCCGTAAAAAACCAGCCCGACATACAAGCTCACCCATGATGAAGGCCACCCATCAAAAAGAACACACCCAAGCAGCCCGACATACGAGCTCACCCATGATGAAGGCCACCCATCAAAAATAACACACCCAAGCAGCCCGACATACGAGCTCACCCATGATGAAGGCCACCCATCAAAAAGAACACACCCAAGCAGCCCGACATACGAGCTCACCCATGATGAAGGCCACCCATCAAACAGAACACACTTAAGCAGCCTACGAGCTCACCCGTCATGGTCCGTGTGATTCCATGGGTGCGCTTGGCAGGACTACTACTTTAGCTCCTACGCCCTCCGACTCATTTGAGCCGGGATCGGATTGGGCGCCTGTGCTGGGGAAATTTGCCTCATTGCTCATTTCACTCGCTCCAGTGGTGCCCTTCTCTCCGCTTTTTTGGGGGAGGGTTCGGGACCCTACTAAAATCGACTACAGAAAGAAGGGTATCCTATGGTACCCTTATTCTAACCTCTCTACTTGAGGACCTAGTTCAGGATGTGCGGCCGGCCTCTCTCAATGTCCAAAGCGAATCGACCTTTTGACTTCAATTGTCCACCTTTAGTACAGGTCCTAAAAGGTGAAGCTGTTCTATCTGGGCCTCTAAGTGGCAAGTGAGCCTAGCAACTCTGAACTGCTAAGATTGAGAGACTAGGACCATGGATGTTTGTTTTTGGGTGAGGGTTCAGATATGTTTTCCTGAAAGCTTGGGATAGACTATTCAGTTTCAAGTTCTCTTGGGGTGATGTATGAAGAGGTTACACAATCTTTTCCTCTATTACCCTCCCTCCAACAATCGTGGAAGCTGATAGGCTGATACACCTATACAAGCCCATAGCCTGTAGTGTAGTACGTACCCCCAACTAGTTACCCGCCTCAAGGTCAACAAGGCGCACATAAAAAACATGTTTGGAGCCCGCTATGATTCCTTTAATCCGGTCTCTCCAGTCCTCTCTGGTCCTCTTCCTGCCTGGCCAATAATCTCAGGATAGGAACGTGAAAGGACACTGCGCTTTTTTCGAGCTCTGCCGGGTACCCGTTATGAGCTTGTCAGACCTTGAATACTTACACAAATACAGTACTATCTATATATAAAAGTTATGGTACCCGCGCTTTGTGCAACTTTGGCTGTTGGAGAGGCAGACGGCCGTCTTCAATCAGAGGGGTTCTGGCGGGTGCCAGAAATGCATTCGCGGAGTTTTGGGAGAACGTGGGGCGAAGAATCACCATAAGGGCGGTTTGGTGAGGTCAATCAAGCACAGAGGTTCTTCTATGGAGATGTGTCAAAATAGGGGACCCAACCTTGTGCTGTCCCTTTTTGGTTCCCTTTCATCCCACCCCAGAATGGCACTTTCAAAATACTATCGTTGTCGGTGACTCAAGGCTTTGGGCCATCTCAGAACGAGTTTGGTGGGATGTCTCAAGAGAGGAGAATCAAGGAAACCTGACAGCAAGTCATTGGGGCGTGTCTTGTTTTGAGAAAGGACCGCACTGGAACCGCCTTTTTGGGAGTCCGAGTCCCTATTATCAGAGAAGCTCAGATGAGCCTCGGTCAACACATCCAGTCGTGCATGATTCTGTTGGGAGCGGATGGGTCCCTTGTTTTTCCCAGGTGCACTACATTTGGACCGTGGCATGTAAGGTTCTGGGTGACAAGGGAACCCACCGGGAAGCCGCCTAGACGAAGCCGCAGCCAGATGATCGGTGCCCAAACTTCAAGCCATGTGTCCAGTGTGGTCGCTCCCAGAATCATGGACGACTGGATGTGTTGACCGAGGCTCACATGGGCTTCTTTCATAATAGGGGACTCCCAAAAAGGCGGTTGCTGGGTTGAGTTAATTCATCACTTCAGGGCCACAAAGGGTGTGTATTTCTGGTCGACAGTACCCGATGGGAGCCGGGGGGTTGGGGGGTTGGGGGGGGAAGCGACCTCGCCCTGCCAGGCGCGCTTCAGCATTCACGAGGATATGCTGAAGGACTCTTCAGAATGGGGCTGAATCCCCCATTTGCTTAAGAATATGATTGTTGGCTTCAAGCATTTTCTATTGCTACTCTGTATGTGCCACATATTTTTCCAGGGGCTTCAGCGATTAGAAGGAATGAGTAATGTAATGAATTGCTATTCATCTTCCCCTGAATTGTTTTGTGCTTTGCAGGGGTGTTCCCTGCTGGTTGTTCCACAGGAAACGCAAGAGGGACATCTACTGTCCATTTCGGCTTCGAGACAAGCCTACGCTGGTGTTACCCAGTTGTTTTTTTGTTTTGTTTTTTTGTTTTTTGTTTTTTCTCGGGCAACTCCTACTGGGTGGTTCGGATGTGGGTAAATGCTTTACGCAAGCCCCCAAATTCCAAAAACGCCACGACACCAAAACACCAAGTACGGGGAAGCTGAGCTTTGTGTCAGTGTGTAAGCCTCAGCCGTGTATAGCATGTTTCATGGAGAGGCTACGATCGCCATTTTGGCCCTGGCCCACCTAGGGACCCCTTAAGCCGAATCGTCGCACAGCGACGCTGCTACATGGAAAACGCGTGACCTGCGAGCTCTACTTGCGGGACCACTTGTTGAAGGTCGAGTTCACTTGACTTGGAACCTGACCCCAAGGTGCTACCGAAATTGGTAGCGGAGCCTGCCACAGAGCAGGCGGGCGGCAAAGCTGAGAGGCATCCTGCCGGAAGCTTTGACCGCCAAGGTGAGCTGGAGGTGGAACCTGTTCGTGGAGGAGCCGAAGGTCTCAGAGCAGGTTGCCTTCAGCCGGAGATCACGGGATCCCAGGAGTCCTCGCCGAAGCTGGTTTTGTCCTCGGACTTTCGGGAATCCATGGGGGATAAGAACCAGGACAGCTTCCGGGTCACTTGGGATGGGGACTTTGCTACCTGGCTGGACTTCGTGCGGAAGGTGAGGCTGGCTTGGGAACGGACGAGAAGGAGGCGCAGGCGCTACCTGGGACCGGAGTTGGTTTCGCAACTTTCCGGGAGAGCATGGCTTGTCACCCATGAGATTGACCACAAACGTTTGAGCCAGCACAACGGTGCGAAGTATCTCCTGGACTACTTGGAGAATCGCCTCGCCAAGACTCCCGTTCCTGATGCCGGTGTTCGAGCAGAGGAGCTGTTGCTGAGGTTGAGACGGCCCCCGACGATGTCAATGATTCTTGGTGCCAGCATGTGCGAGAAGCTCATCGCCGTCTTCAGCGAGCACTACAGCGAGCTCGACAAGAACACACCCAGCTAAGCAAAGAAGCAAAGACCCCTGGAGCACAACCGGACCTTCCTCGTGCTGAACAATCGCCAAGTTCATCGCCGACAACGAGGAGGTCGCGTGCAAGGACCGAGGAGGAGCCCTATCAGACGGGCGAGATCGGGGAGGACGGCTGGGATGGTTGGCCTCTCGATCCACGAGAAGCCTTTGGAGATGGAGAAGATGAGCCTGATGAAGAAAGCGGAGATCCTCGATCAGACCTGAGCCGCGGTGGAAGCGGTCGTGGTCGAGGACGTGGAAAAGGACGGAGCAAAGGAAAAGGTAAAGACCGCCGGAGAGGAAGATCCTCATCATCCTCTTCGGCATCAGATGGACAAGAAGTTTGGGAATCCTTGCCCTTAGGGTCCCGCGTAGCTTCTGAGGAAGTACTTCTAATTCCCGTACATGCTAAGACCAGGTTTGAGGCCGCGTCCATGCTGAGACACTTTTGGGGCAGCGGGTGGGCATAGGAGAACCAACAACACCGATCTGTAACTAAGCATCCCACATGGTCTGGCTTTTCGATTGCGAGATTCTAGGCAGCATTTGCCCCCAAAATGTGGCCAGCATGCAGGGAGGGCCCATGTACTTGCTTGGACACTTTCCGGGCCCAACCGCTCGATCCTAGGTGAGGGGCATATATCTTTCCACACTCTAGCACTAATGCTTCAATCACTTGTGTTCAACCCATGCCTTCCTTGCGCCTTTTGACCCTGTGTTTTGTAGATCTTTCGACTGCAGTGCATCAAGTGGGTTAGAGCACGCTAGCCCAGAAATCCAACCCAACGATGCCAGTTTTGGGCAACTCGAAGAGGGGACTAGAAACAAGCAGGTGCTGAGCAAACTGTGGCCTTTTTCTTGGTTTGGGGGTTTCGTGGCTGCGGGATTTGTAGCTGGACTAGTCTCATGCAGAGTTGGAGCCAATGCGTGAGTTCATTCAGGCTGCAATCAAGCGCTTTACTAACCCGATGCTGATGTTCAGAACATGCCTCCCCGAGAAACGCTTGAGGGAGCAGCATGAATTAGGTCACTCATCATTGATAGCCGTTCGACAATGGCCAAATTGGCCTTGTAGTCCAACAACGCCAAACCTCACCAATGGTACGGCGACCCATGATGAGTGTGTTCAGCCTGCCCATGCCCCGTGACGTTGGAGCCCTGCAGGAGGTAAAACCTGTGGGCCGTCAGGACTTGGAAACCGTTTTTGCTCAACTTGTCCAGTGTGTTCTGTAAAAAAACAAGCATGCAAGTTTGCGACTCTGGAAGCTGGGGCTGCTTAGCCGTTCTTACTGAGCAAGGCTTCTGCCAAGATGTCGATGATGGCCTGATGCATGCGCCCTTAGGCGTTGCAAGTTTGCCAATTGCTGTGTTTGTGTGTGTGTGTTTTCCCGGCCTACTGGTGCTCCACTTTTTGGGGCATGTGGGCGCTGATCGGAATGCACGCGTTACCCTCGATAACTGGCAACCCTGGCCTTTTTTAAAGCAATTCTGAAGCAATATATGCCTCAATTCTACAGTGCATTAAATTAGGATCTTCTGATTTGGCCTAGTGTCCAGGGTGGGCTCGAGGATATGACGTGTGGCTGCCTGACATTGAGGTTGGTAGCGCAAAAGGCAATGTGCCCCAAGCGAGGCCAGGCTGCTGTGTAAGTCAACCGCAACCCAGCTAGCGCTGGCAGCCTCGACAGCCAACCTTTACCGCGTAGCCCTTGACCCTGGTTATCCGTGTATGGGTCCACCAGGAAGACCTAGGCCGAATCGCCACACTCACAAATCGGTCATAATCTATTCAGGGTGCACATCGTCTAGGTTTGGTGGGACCCCTTAACCTGTTGAATGGAACCAGCTTCCATGCGCGCAAGCGGCATAGTTTGGGCACGCCGCAGTTTTAGCAGGGAGCGATGCAGTTGTCTTCGAAAACAGACCCAACCAGGCAACATATGCCTGGATTTGCAGGGCTTGCAGCTTGACGCCCCCCATTTCCGGCGAGAATTTGCTTGGCACGTTTTGTTTTTTTCCGGGAGCTTCTTCTGACCAGTGTTCGCAACACTACAAGTTTGTTTCGCATGGGGTCCAAGTAGGATGATGTACTTCACCCCAAAGCCCTTAAACACACTCATGGCCTCGACGCCGTGAGGGGGCTTTGAGGTGTGTGCTTGTTTCCAAAATTGGACCTTTGGTTGCACCTTGGGGTGCAAAGCCAATTTCCGGAAAACATGATGAATTTGACTTTTTTCTAGACATGCCGTGTGCGACAAAGCACACAAGCCTCTAAGTGGCCCAGCCTGAGACGAGTGTGGGGCAAGTTGCGCACGTTTGTTTTGAGACAAGACCAGCATTCTGAAGGGTTGGTTGATGCGGAATTATTCGGGATTCTGGGCCGGCTCGTCAGGCGCTCGGCAACCCTCCAAATATTTGGCCACTTCAAATTTGCATTTCCGCGTTGAGGGCTTCGTGACACGGCCAGCTCATGGGGAGCCTAACGAAATCTAACGAAATCTAACGCAAATCTAACGCTGGAAAGTTGCCCAGCACGGTCATTTAACGCAATTTTCACGAATCTAGCGCAAATCTAACGCTGCTTGGCTCGCATCACCATTCAACCAAGCATTGCCTTGAAATTCTTCCTAACACCGCGGAACCGCAAAACCCACCCAGTGCAGCCCAATCAAGGCACATGTTGAGCCATTTGTCCAGACGTGGGTAGATGGCTCAACAAGGGCTTCCTGTCCCGTCATCCCGAAAGCACTGAGAAAGCCTATTCAAACAATTGTGCGAATGCTGTACATGAATAGGAAAGGGGCTTCCAATTCAACACATCCCAAACGCACCCGATCAGTGACTCCTGCATGCCCACCAGTTGTACATGGGCAGGTGTCAATAGAAGGTCTTCTTTCAATAGCTTCAATAGTTGCTACTTGGACCGGACCCCATGCGAAACAAACTTGTGGTGTTGCGAAGACTGGTCAGGAGAAGCTCGCGGACAAAAAAAAGAAAAAGACAAAACAGCGTGTCACGCAGTTTCTCGCTGAAAATAGGGGGGCGTCAATCTGCAAGCCTTGCATATCCAGGCAGATCACCAATGTAATATCTTGTCTGGTTATACTCTGGTTGGGGCTGTTTTCGAAGACAATTGCAGGGCTGCCCAAACTATGCCGCGTGCGCTTGGAAGCCGGTTCCATTCATTTAGGCCTAGCGGTCCCACCAAACCTAGACGACGTGCACCCTGAATAGATGATGCCTGATCTGTGAGTGTGGCGATTCGGCCTAGGTCTTCCTGGTGGACCCATACACGGATAACCAGGGTCAAGGGCTACGCGGTAAAGGTTGGCTGTCGAGGCTGCCAGCGCTAGCTGGGTTGCGGTTGACTTACACAGCAGCCTGGCCTCGCTTGGGGCACATTGCCTTTTGCGCTACCAACCTCAATGTCAGGCAGCCACACGTCATATCCTCGAGCCCACCCTGGACACTACGCCAAATCAGAAGATCCTAATTTAATGGAATGTAGAATTGGGGCATATATTGCTTCAGAATTGCTTTAAAAAGGCCAGGGTTGCCAGTTATCGAGGGTAACGCGTGTATTCCGATCAGCTCCCACATGCCCAAAAAGTGGAACACCAGTAGGCCGGGAAAACACACACACACACAAACACAGCAATTGGCAAACTTGCAACGCCTAAGGGCGCATGCATCAGGCCATCATCGACATCTTGGCAGAAGCCTTGCTCAGTAAAAACG